TGAGCAAAAACGGGACGGAAAACATGGAATTTTGGCATAATCTTGCACCTAAGTGTTTGATATTCAAATTTCGCTTTCTGGGTCAAAACTACTCGAATTTCGTCACTCACGTTGTTACGACTGAATCGACTTTTCAATTCTCTATCCAACGATGCCAAAACGAATTCTCTGGCTCGATTGATCCTTGAGAAACTTGGAATAAAGGCCATTTAGTTATCTCTGGAATGATGTAGAAACGAGCGTTCTTGCTCATTTTGCTTCCGAGAAACATGAAATTTTGCAATAATCTTGCGCCACCCTTGCACAAAGCGACGATCATTTTTCTAATTTCATAAACAACAGAAGACTGTAGTTTTTCTGCATAACCCCCCCCCCCTCTGACTTTAAAGCTGGATCCGCCCCTGTTCAGAGGCGCTTCTCAGTTCCAAAACTATGCACCAACTCATGGAGCACAGTTCAAGTTGTGAAATTGCGCGTGGATGAATATGCCAGATAATACAGATTAAACACTTACATTGGGTCATGGTCCAGCACAGGAACAGCCGCTACGCACATCAGAATGTTCCCTGCGAGGTAAATTAACGAAAAGTTCCGGATAGTCCTAAAAAACCCAAGCAATTACAGGAAGAAAGTTGAAGAATTTCGATTAACTGTTACCGATATCTTCCAAAAAAACTATCCGCGCATATTGCGCCAACAAGTGGCACTATGTAGCAGACCATGATGAAGATGTGGTAGATCACGGTGGCCGCATCTTCACTGAATAGCAGGATGTTGCGCAAATAGAGCGATAGAATGGCTAAAAACCACCGAGGTGAGTTCGGTTAAATAGAAGTGGACGGAATACGCACTTCGCAGGCCGCAGAAGGAAAACCTTTCGCAAAACTCGGTAGCTATTATGCAAAACACCGCTGTAGGGTAGCTGGAATCCTGCAAATGCCCTTCAATTAGCCTCTGGGGTTGTCCAGAACAATCCAAAAAATAATTACCAAGTACATTCTTCACTAGCGCGCGTCAGTGTCAGGATGACTACTCTGACGTCACGTTGGACCAGCCTGGCCAACTTGAGCATGACCCGGTGACACCTAACCTAACTATTAACTCACAGTAAAAACAACTTAACCCCACTGTCAAAGTGTTTGTGGCTTGGGGGCTTCGATCAAAATGATTATCACCTATGAGTTAATGCTGCTGCTCCGGGTTATGCCCAAAGTAAGTACTGAGTCCCGCAGTAAGTGTTTGCCATCGAGCACGGTAACTTTCAGCCAGAAGTAAAGCAGGTGTTGAGGCGGGTAGCTGACCATATTTTCGCCAAAGGGGGCATAATCCGAAAGCTGGAAAACTTGGGGACTAGAGACATGCCCTACAGGACAGGCGCACATGGTGTGATGTATAACAAAGCCAGTTACTTCCTATGCGAATTCAATGCGCCCCCGAGCCACATAGAAGTCCTGCTAGACGAGTATGGAAGGGACGTCGACGTGATCAGACGCAGGATATACAAAAAGAACGCGCTAGAGCCGATTGAGTGCACTCTGCATGAGGAACTGCTTCCTCCGCCCTATAGGAAAGACGTGCAAAGTATGATAGCAGAGGCCCGCAAGCACGATAAACCCACATTCAGGTTCAACACCGGCTTGAACTACTACCCTTTCCAAAAGTGAGCAACTACTGGGTGCAAACCTGAGAACAGCCGTAGGTTCAATGTAAACTTTTATTTAGAAAATTAACCTTACGTTACGATAGTAAACAAAATATAATATAATAAATAAGTTGAAATAACGCATAACAATGGGGTTTGAAATCCTATTTGGAATAACATGACGCATTTTCGAATCAACTTATTCTTAGTCGTGAAAGTAAGGGCAGACGTCCGTGTTTAGCCAGACAAAGCCACATTAAAATAACCTACAATGTTTGCCCTTATAAATAATTTAGAGCAATTCGTTATAATTTAATAAGATGCATGTGCAAGTATACATTGCCATTGATCACTTCAAGCACCGATCGAAGTAGACGCCCCCCACGTATCCGCCCCTGATCGCCTTCTGGACGTTTTGTTCAAACAGCCTCCGGTTGCTCGTCAGCACTTCGGCCGCCTCTTTGTTAAGCGGGTCCTCGGCGTTGGGCTCCAAAAACAAGTACTGCAGCCCATAAACAATGCTGTTTATCGTCAAAACCGGCTTCCAGTCCTCTCGCAGTATGTTCAGGCACACGTTTCCCTGTTGGTCGATATTGGGGTGATACACCTGCGTTTCGCACTTTACTTTGGGCGGCTCGTGTGGATAGTTGGGGCCCACTTTAAAGCTGAATGCAAATCTGCCGCCTTTGTAGAAGCCCTATAAGTGGAAAGCGTCGTCAGTTGAAGCAATCCCCCAAACAACCAATAGCTGGTACTTTGATTAATTGGGGTTCGGGCTTAGTGTAGTAGATCAAAGTAACGATTAGTAACCGCTCTAGCTATTAAAGCGAGGTGAAAATTTTGAAACCTACGCACCTCATCAGGGCATATCACCAATTTGAAGTTCAGCAGATCGTCAGCGTCGGGAAATTCCGTGTTGCAGGTCTTCGGCAGGTTCAGTTCGTTTATGTCTGCAATTTAGAGTAATGAAACGTTGAAAACTCAGCCAGAAAATCTTGTTCGGACCTTTAGTTATCCTCAGCTGGGCAGCGGAGGCCTTTTTCTGGTTGCCTGAGCGGGGCATTGCCTCGCCATCCTTTTTCTGCTGCTTCAACGAGAATAGTTTAATCATTGTTTATGTACAAAGGACCCGCACCTAATCTACACTGAAGTTATATACATAAATTAGGCAAATTGTTAATAAGTAAAAGCTAGATTCGCTGATTTCAGCAGCCAGTCTAACGTCAACGTGACGTCTGACATTGTCAGTTTGGAAGTTTTCCTTCACAAAATATCCACCCAGGGGGATGTTCTGTGGATTTCCTATTTTACTTTGACAAACTAGGTCACAGAACATACCCCCTACCCCAGTACATCAGGGGGGATATTTTGTGAACTAGGTTAAGTGCTTGTTTTTAGCGAAAAATGCGGGTAACTCGGAGCCTATTATCAGACAAGAATCGGCGATATTTGTCCCAACTTGCCAAGTCCAGGTACCCAATGTAAAGCCCAATCAGCGCAGTAAAAAGCAATTGTGGGTTTCAGCCCCAAATGGCAAAGCGTGGTGGGGCTGGAAGTGCACGCCCAAATAGCATCCGAAAGCAAACTCTTTTCGGGGGCGGCCAACAAGTTCAGCAGCCCCATCAACAGCAACGTGAGCCTCTTCGATGCCGCCACCCCCGGCACTTTGCCGGTGTTGAACCAAAGATGCGTGGAAGCGGGCGTCCTAACGGCCCTGTCGCTGAACTGCCGCGTGAACCCCGTTTCCTACTTTGACCGGAAGCACTACTTCTACGCAGACATGCCTTCCGGCTATCAAATTACCCAGCAACGGGCTCCGCTGGCCGAGAATGGCCACTTGGAGTTTCACGTATTCACCCCAGGGGTGCACAAGAGCCCCTACAAGGCCCACGCGAAACTAAAGCAGGTTTGCCAGAGCCCTAAATCGGCTGCAACTTGCTACAAAAGTGGGGAATTTGCAGCTGCAGCTCGAGCAGGACAGCGGGAAAAGCCTGCACGATTTTGACAGAAGTCTGGTGGATCTGAACCGAGCGGGGGCCCCCTTGATGGAGCTGGTGTTTGAGCCCGATCTGGCCGATGGGGAGGAGGCGGCCGCTCTGATCAAGGAGCTGGTGAACATTCTGCAGCGAATCCAGACCTGCTCATGCAAGATGGAAGGTAAACTACTTACATCTTCAGCATCGGTTGAGGAGGCTTCCGCCGCATTGGCGGCTAGAAATTCCGCGTCGCACAGCTCCATTTCATCAGTTAGTTCACGTTTTTTATGGTAATTTTGACGGGTTTTGTTCGGGAGATGTCAAACGCGCTGCAGGAAGTTGCATTGTGACAAGCTGTCGATGCAGGAGCAGTTTGAGGTTTTTTTCAACGCAACAACCTGCAAGCTGAAAATGCAACTACGTGAACACCCAACGACCTTCTGATTTTAGGGCGACTTCATAGTCGTCGCGACATTTTTTATAATTTCAACTTCTCCAACTTGCTCCAACTATAACTTAGGTACAGTTGGGGCGTCGAACCGACTTTGCCCGTTCTTCCATTTGCGGCCTATTTTCAGAGGGTGCGTTTCGAGTGGACGCAAATGTTTCCGTCCGGCGGCCAGGCGATCCATTGGGAACCCGGACGGAAATCAAAAATATCGGGTCTGTGAGAGGCGTGGCCGGTGCCATCAAGTACGAAATCCAGCGACAAATCAAGGTGCTGGAAGCAAATGGTACTGTTGTGAACGAAACGCGCTCGTGGAACCCGGAGAAGAAGGAAACAATTGCCATGCGGGACAAAGAGATTCAGCAAGTATGGATCGGGCCCCACGCGCGTTTGTTGGGGCTAAAGGTGGCTGTTTTAGGACTACCGATACATGCCAGAGCCCAATTTGCCGCCATTGCATATCGTCATGGGCCCCATTCGGGGCGGCGGCGTGAACGCTGATGAGATAAAAGAGCGCATCCCGGAACTGCCCGAGCAAACCAGACAGCGACTGGAACAGACGTTCGGGATAAGACAGGAACATTGCATTATTCTAGTGGTGCGTATTGAGCGAGTTTCAGCGCTCCGGACGTTCTATCTGAGGGTTTTAGAATGACGCTGGGCTCCTGCGGTTGTTCGAAGCCGCACAAATAGGCAGGGAGCTGAGCGCTCAGAAGCTGGCAAATTTCCTCATCAATGAGCTGTACAAGACGTTGCATGAAATGGACTTGGAAGCTTCCGATGTGAAATTCAACCCCGATTATTTGGGTGAAATCGTCGAGTTAATCGAAGCGGGCACCATCAACAGGCCAGCGTCCGAAATGGTGTTGAGACAGTTACTGGAAGGCAATCCAGACCGGCCTTTGCAGGTAGATTTACTTCAGTTTTCTGCGCGCAATCTGGCTAAGGGCGGCTTGTTCCAGATCGTGGAAAACAACGGCTGGAAGCAGATAACGGACGAGGAGGAGCTAAGGCTGCTGTGCCGTCAAGTGTTGCAGGAAAACGAGAAAGGCCTTAAGCAGTATTTGGGCGGAAAGTCGAAGGTGTTCAGGGCTTTTATGGGCGCGGTTTACCGCAAGTCGAACGAGAGAGCCGATATGAAGAAATGCGACACTTTGCTGAAGGAAATACTGGGCGAACTTAGTAAAAGGAAAGTTGATTAATGTTGCAAAAACTGATTGGACGCATTGGCCCTAAGGATGGCTGGAATATATATAAAAACAGGGTTTGTTCGCTGACCAGCCTCCACCATTGAAAAGAATCTTTGTCCTTATTTCGCCAGAAATCAGTAAAACTACGAAGTTTCGTGTCTTGTCTTCAGGACCTAATAAAGTCTGCGAGTCGATTTCGTGTGAATTTTTTAGGATTTTGTTTGTGTTTTGTGCTTGTTTACGCCGACCGGAGTTTTACAGTTATTTCCTCAGAAACTAGTCGAGTGGGGACGACTTTCACATGAATGTGGCAGGGCGGCTTTGTCCGCGTTATAAGTGCGAAATGTTTCCATTTTGAATCATCATCATTAGGCGAGTTTTCGAAGTTTTTTTCGTACGGGAGAATTTTGGTTGTTTATTTAGGACTCAGTGCGGCGTTTATTTTGTCAATAAACATTTTATAAAATAATGAAAATCGATTGCGGAAAAATGTATACCATTGCCAAGAATCAGTTCTGCTGGCAACGTTACAGTGAACCAAAGTCCCTAAATCGAAAGTGACATTGAAGGACGAAGAAGAAGAAGTGACGTTGTAGTGTGAGCTTAGAAGATATTCACATAATGTTTAAAAAATCATTGTACAATGATACAAAACTTTTTTCAGTTATTTGAGCAAACTGGCGAATGCGCGCTTTAAACTTAAAAATCTTGTAATTTTTTAACTGTTCGCATTCACCTATATGATTGCCCGAACTATGTCAGTTTAGTACCAGAAAACTCCCCGATACATCGCTGCTATCACAATAGTGAGCTTTTGCCGGTTTATTGCATGACTGCTGAGTTTTTCCTGCTTTTACTACCTTCATTGAATCGAACTTCTTTCCGCCGCTTTGGAAGCTTAAACTAGAGGTTTTAAAGCTACATGCACACCTGAAGATGTAAGCCAGCCTTGGAGCAAATTCGATTGAACAACAATGCAAAAAGCCCGGAAAAACTGAAAGCAGTTTCAAATGGACTTCAGTATTAGGTACCAATTGTATCTTAATGTTAATGATCGGCCGGTTGGTTTCCTTATCCGGTGATAATGTGGCGCCGCATTGTCAGCATGTCTCAAATTAACCATTTAAAAACATTCATGTTTAGTCTGCTAGACGATTTTTGAATTGGAAATGTGTTTGTTCAACAGTACAAGAACTGAGGTATATATTTAGGCGAAGCGACTAGAGCGGCAGCTAAAACGTGCCGTTTAGTGGATTGATTTTCGCATACCTGGACGGAAAACTATTAAAAGCGCATTGCAATGCCATTGGCCAAACCAGTGACATTTTCGCCAGTGATTTACGAGAAATGATTCAAATTCCTGGTCGGTTGATGGGGCGCCAAACAGACGCAAACCGATAGGACACAATAGCAGTTGCCTACTGATAATTTCATAATAGAGTTGCAAGATTTTATTTGGTAAATGCATTCCAAGAAGCCACCGTCGAAGAAGCAGAAGAAAGGCCGCGACTGGGTGGAATGTTGAAAATCGTCTAATCTTCGCTCAGGTGTTCCGAGATGTTTTGTTGTGAAAATCATGCAGGTGTGGAGCGTCGCTCTTTTAGAAGATACGGTTTCCAATCGGACAGGCACCGATTGCACCACGTCCCGAATAAATAAATCGAACGAAACATTCAGTTAATGGTTAATGGTTTCACCGCAAAGGTGCAATCAACGTGCCCCCAACCGCCCAGTGTTATCCGTAACCGGGGAAACGCGCCTAATATGCAATTCCATTGGGCGGACGGCGACGCACCCTCATGAGCCACTTGGCCGAAAAGCGGCCAACATCAGTTGCTCCATGGTTTTCAGAAATTCAATGCGCTTAAATTAGTTTACGGTAGACAATCCCAAAACTTTGTTGTGATTGGCAAAGGTCGCGAATTTGGCCGCGGGCCTTGCAGGTGTGCGTCAGACTGAGGGGCGCCGACCGATCGGCCGGATCTGGAGCCCCTCGATTGCCGTCCACCTGCACTCGGGCAACATTGCCGCGTCTTGCCTCGGACTGCTTCTGAGCGTTCGCAGCCCCCGATTTGCCCCCAAGGTGACCCCCAGCCTCACTCTGAGGTCTTGTGGGGTTGAGCAGAAGCGCAAAAAAGCGCCCACTTGTGGGCTTTAGGGCCCCTTTCCCGATGGAGGCCCCGATATGGCAACAGGGCAATTAGATGATAAATCGATCGGCGACTGACTTTCCAGTGATTTTTGATCTGGTTGAGCAATTAACGGCACCAGCGGCACTCCTACACCGAGGCGCAGGCTTTCTATTGCCGATTTTTCGGTCGTTCGCAATGGGAGCCCCAATTTGCGCGAACTTTCCAACGCATTCCTTGGCTTAGTGTGAGTTTGGGGTGGATTATGCGGTTCTGGTGCCCAACTGAGCCGATCATTGCCGACATATGCGAGCGGCATTAATATTATGAAAACCTGACAAGTTGAGACAGGTTTTCGCGACAGTTGGCCTACCGATGGTACCATCTTTGTGTGGAGCGCTGAGGAGGAAAAAAGGAGGAATTTCTTTGAAGACGCGACCCGGCCAGCGAGAAACACGTGTGCAACGAGATGACTTGGTACTATGCGGCTTATGGCGCGGTTACGGACCAATTGCACGCGGTTGCACCTAGTTTGGAAACTTATCGTCCCAAACTGTTTGACAGTGACGTCATTATTTCACGAGCGGCTAATTGTAGCCCCCTTGGAATCCATTGTTGCTAGATTTCAGCTGATTTGAGGCGTTATTATAGAAAGAGAGAGAGAGAAAATGAGAAAGATCTTATTATATATTTACCGAGTCATTTAAGATATCGATAAAATACATTAATTGTCTGTTTTAATAAGGTTTATAACACCTAAATCTTAAGGTTTTTTAAATAATACGAATTTAATCAAAATATAATCTAATTTTCACGTGTCAAATACTTTAGAAGTATTTAAGTTATGTAAGAGTAATTTATAGTGAAGTGTAACAAGATATAATATTTTATATACCAATGATAATAAACTTACCATGTTATACAGGGTGTCCACAAATTTAAACTAATCAAATAAGAACGTTAAGTGGCTCTAACTTGATTAATTTAAATACAACCCCATATTTTTTAACTTACCCGGAAATGAAATTTTTAATTACCTATCGAATGGTATTAGGATGTTAATAGCTAAGTTTTTGCCTTTTTACAAAATACGTCAAATAGTCGTTCTGTG